GACGCAAAGTACTTATTTAATAGGTTGGCTTTTTCCTGGGCGTCAGTTGTCAGTTGCCCCATCTGGTTTAGCAGGGGTCCAATGTTGCCCCTGCTTTTCCTCTGGCTCCCCACATATCTGAAAAAGGACTTTTTATTGTCCTTGATGCTCAAAGCTAGCTGGAGTTCAGTTGCAGCCTTGGCTTTCCTGGTCTGCTCCCTACAGGACCGGACCAGTGCAGAATAATCCTTCTTGGAGGTGACTCCCATCCTCCATCCTTTGTAGGCCTTTCTTTTTAGCCTCAGGAGGTCTGCTAGGTCCCTGGAGAGCCAGGGGGGCTGCTGTGCCCTCTTGCTGCCTTTCCTCCGAGATGGAATAGACTTAGTTTGTGCATTGAGGATCGCTCCCTTGAGGAGCAACCACTCTTCTTGAACTCCCCTCTCCCTGTGGTCATGGTCCCTTAGGGCCTCACTGACAAGCCTCCTGAGCTTGTCAAAGTCGGCTTTCCTGAAGTCAAGGACTTGTGTGTTGCTGACCGACTTGCCAGCTTTTCGGTGGATGGTGAAGGTGATCAGCTCATGGTCGCTGTCACCCAGCTTCCCATCAATCACTAGGTCGCTGACTAGGTCATCCCCGGTAGCCAGTACCAGGTCGAGCAGCGCTTTGCCTGCTGACTATCTCCTTTTAAAAAAGAGGGTATCCGGACTGGTGGGAAAAGCCTGCCCATATCTGGAAGAGTTACTGGACTGGATTATCTGGTATTCTAGTGTCCAGGATGCAATGAGGCTAGTTGCTAATATAGCCTGTGAGACGCAGTTTTCTACAGCCATAGTTCAGGCAGAGCTGACTCTTTCCATAGCATCAACACACTTCACTGTCATCTTTCTGCAGGCTTATAGTCAGTCATCCATTTCAGTGCAGGTGTTCTCTGGGGCTCTTGCTTTTGAAAGAAAAGAACAGAACTCTGGCTTCCCATGATAGAAAAAACCACATCCTTATCATGTAATAACAAGTTACAAAAATTTGTATTCTCAAGCTCCTCCTAGATATAACAGGTGCTTGAAAGAGCCTAAAACATCTGATTTTCTCAGCAATGCTTCCCAGGGCTTTTCCTATTGGAAAGGAGTCTCTTGTCCCTCCTTAAGATGACTTGATTTGATTGTAATAACATGCAGTCTGCAGTAAGTTGAGGTGAAGAGTATGATCCAATAGTTTTACCAGACTGAACAGGCAAGCCTCAATTCCAACAAGATGTTGCAGGAACATACAAGTAAAGAGGCGTTTTTCACTAAAGATTCACAGAATTACAGCTGATCTTGTACCTGGATGGTAGATCTTTAAACTGGCAATCCTGGCAAAAGGGCATTCCCTTTATTGCTCAGGTCCTGAGGATTGCAATCTTCACTCATTACAAAGTGAGAAGGTTAGAGTCTCTGGGACATATCTGCCACAAGCTAGTGGCACTCTGGTCATTGTAGCAAGCAGCTTGGGGAGAGGTACTCAGCATATATTTACAATGCAGCATCCACTGCACACAGTTGGAAAGTACCTAGTTCATGAGAGGCTCTTGTGGAAACAAGTAGCGACAATAGAAATAAAATGAATATCATAGCACCTCAGGAACAAGACAGCTTGAGCTGGGGGTATGCATACTAGGTGTGTGTATTTGTCACACACTGTTGTGAGTGAACTGTTTTCTACTCTAACTGCAGGGTTGCCGGAGTGCATCTCCCAACTGGGAATGCAAATTGGTTCCACAACATCAGCCAACTGGCACAGAGACGTCAGGCTGGTATGAGGATCAGAATGCCACTGGACTTACGGGCCAGGATACAGTGTCTCCAATGGCATGGCATTTGTGGAATGTTTTGGAATCAACTGCTCCCAAACTAGTGTAACACACAACAGTACTACAGGCTTGGGGAGAAGACAGCCTTGTAATGGGGGTCCAGCATTTACCTGGCAGAGCGATAGCTACCTCAACTGCCTGAAGTAGTGGCACCCTGGTTTTACTCTGGTCTTGTGGAGACACAGAAAGCATGGCACCAAAAAACCTCCTTGTGCAAAATATGGCAAAGGTAGGGAGCAACTGGCAGGTGTCTAAGGACCCATCTAGGCAGGGAAATGAGTCAGTAGTCAGCAGGAAGGTTTGTTTATTTCAAGGTGGAGCAGGAAGGGCAGGATTCTCTCTCTGATACCAGTGCTGACAGCCTTGTCAGCTACTGGTTGCTCTCAGACCGAGGGAAATAGGGAGGATTTGCATAACCATTTCTCTGGTGTTGGGATTGGGCTCCTTATCTGATCCCCTACCCCAATTACAGAAGTGAAGGAAGTGGATCATTGATGCACTGGGAGAACAGAAGTGTGGGACAGACTTTGGGATCATGCAAACATTTCTTATTTGTGTCTCATGGTTCCATCACGGACAGGGGCAGTTGGAATATATTGGTCTGTGGGATGAAATCCTAAATTAATGAGCACAGGATGATGCTTCACCACACAATACTCATAGGCTGGACAAAAAGAAGGCTGGTATTAGGAACATTTCATCGATCAGTAACAGGAGCTCTCTCAGATACAGTGTTCTTAATGAAAACAGCAGCCTAAAGCTCAACCCAGCACACCTTTCTGGAGCTTTAATTTCTAATCACATACAAATACAGGTACCTGTGACAACAGAAATAAGTGTACATATTTTTCCTTGTGTTAAATACAGCAATAATTTATACTCGGAGCCTAAGACAAATATGTTTTTCTCCATTTAAGCAGATACATTCAAACCTTTCTCTGATACATATTCTGTGATCTCTAGCAAATTTTTTTCTTCCCATTTATTTTTTTAATTTCTCCAGAACACAGAACAATGGGCAAAAGGGTGCACTCTGCAACACAGTAACAGCACCTTCCATGAAAGCCGAAAGGAGCTACAGCCATGTGAACAAGGGCAGGATTGGTCTCTAACATTATTAAGATTTGATTAATCACACTTGGAGAAGAGCTCCTCTCAGCCACTGCACTCAAAACCAAAACACTAAAAAGCAACACAAAACATATAAACATACTATTAAAGCTCTTTCTCTGGGCATCTAGCAAACAATGAATACAATGACTGCAATTGCTACTATCAGAAATACTCCAAGCTCCCTGTCAGTAGCATATTAAAACCTTTTTATTTTCTACTAGCAAAGCTATAACAATTTTTCCATGTTCATATCACATATGTGATCTAGAATGCACTTACTGTGAGATGCTGGAACAGCCATGCCCTCATGATATTTGTGGCTACTTTGGGAAAGATGCCACGCTTTTTATGTCGCTTTTTGTCCTTATCTGGATCATCATCATCACCTGTGCTGGGGGAAGCTACACTGTTGTCCAAGCCGTCACCTGTAAATATAGTGAATCAAATTTTGACTTATGCTACCTTTAGATACTTCGGCCAAAGCCTGACGTTGGGTATAAACGGCATGAATATTGAAATGTAATAGAAATTCTTTAACATCATAATTTACCGGAGCAAGGGTGGGGGTGGGGTTGAATAATTATCTCAGCCCAGTTCTGGTTTATTCGGAAGAGTTACAGGAATGACATAGCCACTTCCCTAATTTGATGCAGGATTTTTGCAAGTACCCCACATGCCAGGGTGCAGAAGTGGTCTCTTCATGATATGTTATTTTACAGAAATAACTTCCACGTGTTTATAGATCAGGAAAATGGTGTTTGACCAAACTGTGGTTTGCAATATGTTGATTCTGTCAGATCACCTTAATATGTGGAATAAGTGGTGTCATTTGCTACTCAGTGATGCACAGCTCAAATGAGAAGAGAGAGTTTGGAAGCAACCCTCTTGCACCCCTGCATCCTTTACTCAAGTTCAAAGAGACGTTGGTGAGACTCCGACTCTGTTAAAGAGCAAATTTCAAAAGAAGCCTAAAGGCATTAGATGCTCAACTCACATTGACTTTCAATGGAATTTGGGCACCCATGCCCCTCAGGTACAGTTAAAAATCCCAGCCTAAGAAAATTCACACTGGGGTAACTGGATACCACATTGATGTAACTATCAAAGTCAGTTGTGGTAACATGTAAACCCTGTCTTACACTGGTTTACCATGACTACCATAGGCATTTGCACTGGTACAACAAAGCACTGGGAATTTCTTTAAAAGTTGAGAGGGCCTTAGACAGCTCATCGAATTAACAGCTTAGCAACAGAAGTATTAAACCAGGTAGCAGCCACTTTTGTCCATGATGCACCAGTGATCTAGTATTCAAAGAAAAGCAAAGGTTGCAGTGTATGGTCAAACTCTGCAATTTTTGTCATTTAAACCCTGAAAGCAGCTTATAAACAAAACTATATAGCAATTTATTCCTTCCATCCTCTACATATGGCTAGAATGGTAATACCGTGGCTTCCAAAGACACTATTTTTGTAATAATACAGAGTTGTGATGTAATTAGGCACGTGTTCTTCATACCCCTAGGCAAGAATGGTCAAGAAAGTCATCCAAACTGGGATGAATCCAGAGTAACTCTTTTTTGTTAGGAGTAGAAAAGGAAGGGCTTTGGACTGTCAGCATTATGATCTGTTATACAGAGTTTAATGCAAAGAAGTGATTAGACGTTTATATTTTTAGTATTTTAGTGACCGTGGCAAATTTGTAACTGTTCTTATGACTTGCTCTGTGTACTTAATGAAAGGCTAGCCTTGAATATTCATATTTACAAACAGATATCTTTGACAAACGAATTCTGTGAAAGCCCAGTATATAAAAAAGGCTTTTATACAGAGAAGCAATTCACCATATAAAATAATAATTCATAAAAGAAACATGAGCAAAGGAAACAACTCAAGAGCATTTACAATTTCCATGGGCTAATCCACTTGCTATCTGTGAGAGGCAAACATGGAAAAGAAAAATATTACATGTTCATTGATTAAAAATGAAAAGCTTCTAACCTAATGACACTGCCTTTCTCCACCTCCGTCTGATTGTTTCACCCCTATTTTTAAAATACACTTTCTATCCATTTCAAAACCCCTTCAGAATAATTTAGTAGGCAATGCCTAGCGCCTGACTAGAGGAGTATTCATTGATAATTTATGGAAATATCTACTATAATCCAACGGAGATGACTTTTTTTCCAGCTTTGTGCATCAATAGATAATCAAGGCCTTAAAGCCGCCTTAGCTTCCCATTACCTCAGGCAAAAGAATTCCTGAAAGCATGCCTTCAGGGCACCTGAATTATATACTCCATTAGGAGAGGAAAAGCTTTCTGCATTCCATGTATAACACTCCCCAGAACCTTTCCTGTTTATTTCTGCTGTATGAAAGCAGAAGCATTAGGAACAGAATTTTTTAAGTGAAGACTTATGTAGATACAATGGAGAAACCTTTCAAGCGAGAGCCAGATCACCTCCTTCAATCCCTGGCAGTGACCTATCCCAAATAAAAGGTTTCTGTTACATCATTAGCTCAAGCCAAAAACAGCCTTGGCTTAATGCACAGTTTGTTCTTCCTACTGTTTTTAGGCAAATTCAGCTGCTTTACTCCCATCTGGGAGGGAAATTACACTGCTGGGTTGTAATCTAAGACAAGATTTTCATTGGAAGCAAATGCTTTCAATCCAGTGTAAATACTGGTGCATGTTCAGAAAAGCCTAAAACAATAAACTCGGGTCCTGTCCAACACGAGTTAGGGAAAGTGAAAGGAAGAAAGTGGATAATAAAGCAGCAGACTATTCTAAGCCCAAATACTTCGGTAGATTTTAATAAATTGTTTAACCTCTCCTACTTTTTTAAATTGAAAATTGATCCTGGAAGGACAAAACCACAGAGGAAAGTCTAAATAGTCAATTGTGTATTTTGGTATTTCCATTCACTCTGCAATTTGATATGTTCACCTCTGTGAGGTCTCCAGAGAATTTCTTTCCTTTTTTCCTATTTTTAAAGATCACTAAACAAACTTGAAGAACCACTGACCAACCACATGGTAGTGGCTAGGAACCACATTTGTAAAATGTCAGCAGTGACTTCATTCCTGAAGTTGACTTCTCCTGCCGCCAAATGAAGGCAAACTGAAAAGGTGGAAATAATCATAAAAATGATGCTAGTCCATAAACAAGCTTACAGCCTCATTAGTATAGCAGTAGGCTCCACTGGGTGATTTATGCTCGTTTTGCTGATGCCATGAGGAAATGCCATAGGGCAACTTTAGCCAACTGCTAATGGTTTCTGACAGCTTCTTAGCAACTAGTGCAAGCAACGTTGTGGCGTTTGCTAGTGACAGAAACTGAAAATGTCATATTATCTGCCCATGTGTCACGAAGTCCGTGTGGCAATTAACTAGTAGGCCAGTGACTGAGAGGCCAGAGGCTCTTAGAAATGGCCTTTGGCAATTCAGGGGCAGAGTAGGCACACTGTTTGCATTCACGTTGCACATACGCAACATTCTAATGCAGAAATCTGGTTCACACTACCTCTGTCTCAGTCACTGATGAGCTTGGTCCACTCAAATCCTTTGTCTGTAGAGAAACTCCCAGTTGCTTTCTCTTTAGGCATGGCATGACATTATCAGAGGAATTTAAAGTAATCTGTTTTGATATGATTGTTTGAAATGGCACTTTAATTGGCAATACCTGATTCTCTATTTTTGAACACTGAATCCAAAGGTGCTAGCTGTTTTTCTGCTCTCTCACAAATTAGTCTAAAAGGATTTAAGATCACTGAAGCAGACTCATTGCCTGTCAAATTGCTAGGAGCAGAGGAACTCTGCACAGCAACTAGACACTATTTAAAAAACACCAAGCCTATAACAAGCATAAGGAGAGCTTTGGCTCCACATTTCAGTTTCTGAGCTATCAAAACCATGTACTATATGTCAAACTGTCAAACCTTTCAGCATGGCCATTTGCCCTTTCAAATAATATTTAAGAATTGTTTTTACAAAATTTTATAGGCCATGGTCTAGTGAAATAGGCCAACCAACAAAGAAAGGAATTTGTACTACAATTCGTCCATGGACAATTTCTTGTGAGACCTGGGCCTGTCCCCATGGAGTAAGGCAGGTGACCTGTGGCAGCTCCCAGGCTGTCAGAGAGCTCAGATTTCAAACACACTCAACTCAAACGTCCCAGAGTTGCCTATTTAAGCACACCCAGGCATTTAGGCCGTGCTATCTTGTTCCTTTCAAGAAAGGATAAAGCAGCATTTATCATATTCAGACCATTCAATGGGTCAGGCTGGCCAAGTCAGCAGGGGTTCCTCTCATTCAGGTTACTCCCTCCAACAACTTCCCTTCCTGCCCTCACCCCCAAAATTGTGCATACAAACAGTAAAAGGCAACATGATTTTCAACAATCCCACAGCATTTGTTCGCAAAATTTATTCCTTTTGAGAGTAACTTTATGCGTGCACTTGCATTCACTAGTAACAACGATGAGCAGAATCTGCAGAACTAATACAGCAGATCTAAACCATTTTTCTTGGTTTTACAAGAAGCCAAAGTGAATTTTACTACAATTTAACATTAAAAGACAGGAAGTACAACATTTTGTATAATATCTAAATTTAGTCCCAGTTTTCAAACATGGAAGCCTAATCTATAGTTAATCTTTATACTTAATATTGGTATTTAATTTATATTTAGGCATCTTCATAAAAGGTGTCTGAATTTACATCTGGGTGGAATGCTCATGATTCACATTTATTTCCATAGGAGCCACAGGTGCTCAGCACCCTTAAAATTCAAGCTGCTTCTCCTGAGGTGTCTCTGGCGTATCCTCACAAACACATTATTTTGTGTATCGTGGTACTCTCTCTGAATTCAAGGGAACTACTACAGTTAAGAATATAGGCCAATATGCAGGACTAAAGTTCCTAAGTTCAGATGTTGGCCCCAAATCAAACACCAATATTGGAAATTTTTGCCTATAAAAGTTATATTCCATACATTATGCATATACAAAGTAATCCTTTGAGCCTTATTCATTCTACTGGATTGCTTGCATGAGTAAGACAAGCAGGACTTTGCTCACTATATATAAATTTGTCTAAATATACACTTGACCAGAACGTTAATTCCTTTTCCACTGGATGTTTAGGCTGCAAACACCCCCTTGTTAGGTGTCTCAAAAAGCTAACCCTACTTCTAAAGCCAACTGATAAATATATCCCCCCAAATATTTACACAATAGACCATCTTATTCGAGTTTCCATTTCACTGCAAGTAGTGCTGTCATGTGATGAAATTTGCGGGAAAAATATTGATATTTTCCATTAGAGGAACACATTCTTTTAAAAGTCTGCATTTCTCAAGAGCATTTAACATTTAAAAAGAGGTGGCTTTTCGGCTGGGATCATACTGCTAAAAATTGTTTAAAGCT